TGATAATATTATAAGACTGCTCATGTACGCAATGTCTTTTATTTCTCCCTCTATCTATAGTGGCATCCAGTCAGGCCGATAATCGCATCTATATCATCAGGCGTAGTTTCTATTTGGGCACAAAATCAGGTAGAGAATTGGTCTGCGTTCGCACCGGATTTCAAAGAGTTGGATGAAAATGTTGAATATGAAGAAAGGGAAAGTGAATTCGATTTGAGCGACGAAGATAAGTCTGTCGTTCAAGGAGAAGAGGCTCAGGATGAAGAAATAGAGGTTGACGTTGCATCAATTGACAGAGTTGCTGCATTTTGTAGCTCTGATGAAGAAACTGAAGATATTGGTTCACTTCAATTTTTACCTATATCTCCAGATGTGGAAGATTCCGAAGATAATCAAGTAATGGCACACGAACCGCCAATGAAGAAACATCGATCACACGATATAGATTTACAGGGAGCACCGACTGACGGTAATATCTCACATATTTTAAAAGTAAAAACATAGAGAACGGACTGTGTGACTCGCGGCGTATATTAAAATGATAGATAAAAATAAAAGAGAGAGAAGGCAATTGATTTTCTATCTCTTTCTATTTAACAGTAATGAGTGTAATGAGAAGAAGATTGGCCGTCTTCCATGCTCTCTCTCTCTCTCTCTCTCTCTCTCTCTCTCACACGCGCGCGCGCGCGCGCGCGCACTGTTGTCGCTATATTTGAATACTATTTAATTAGATCGCGCAATCTATTCTCTATGTCTTCGATTAAAAAGATATGCTTGTAACATAATTTTTAAAGCAGTTGATAACTGAATTTTTATTCCGGTAGTCTACTAATAATTAATAAAATTTACAGAAACTCATCCCTTGCTAAATAAAGGAAAGGATAAGCCGACCACAAAGAAGGGAAGACCAAGACTTGAATACAAAAAGGGAAAGTAATTTAATGTGAAAGAGATATCTAAATATCGATAATAATCAAGAAATTTGCTTATTATTTATAATATGATAAAAATATGAAAAATTCTTGATCATTTTAACAAGTTTTTATAAAAGTACAATGTATGATAAATGTTAAATTGGTTTGAACTGATTAAAACTAAAATAATGAATTTTTAATCAGTCTTAAAAAAATGACGATTCTATCATCATTATCCGATGATTCCGTTATCTCAATAAATCATATTCATCTGTTACCTCAATAAAAACCAGAGTTGGGAAGTAATGTGTTACTTGTAACACTGTTTCCGTTTTCGTTACTTTTTTCTGTAACGGTAATGGTAACGTTGTTACATTTTTACAGTAATGGTCACGAATTTTACCGTTACTTCAGTTCCCTATTTTCTTATTTTATAATTTATTCTTAATTTCTTAAAAAATATTTTGTATTTAATATCTTATACTCTGTTCTAATAGGCATTGCCAATGTTGAAAATATATATGTGTGTGTGTGAATTATATATTTTCAACATTGGCAGTGCCTATTAGAACACAATATAAGATATTAAATACAAAATATTTTTTAAGAAATTAAGAAT